TCATTTGTTTTGATGAGGAGTGCCCAAATTATTAAACAAGTAAACACATCTCCTATAATACCCAAAGATTAATATATTTCTTTTGCAAGTATGACTTTGTCTTTTGTATTGTCATTTTTCTCTCACACTTGGATCATCAAATTTGTCTGTACTCCACACCTAGTGTGGATCATGGAAGCACACTAAGTGTACTTAGGAAAGCGGGATATGCGTTAGGTCAGGAGGGAGGCATTGTGGGATTGTTGTCAAACGTTTTAGGCCTTTGCCACGAAGATGATGTGAAACTATATGTGTGTGTGTGTGCTTGATTTTTGATGTGTACTCTGGATTTTGTTAAAGGCAAGAAGATTATGTGAAACTATGTGTGCGTAGGTGCCTGTTCTTTGGAAGTAACGGTTGGTTCAGTCACATGTGATTGGGTCACACCAAAGCAAGTAGGCTAGCAAAACGAGACAACAGGAAACCTGTGGTTGGGCCTAGGTCTGTGGCTTGTAGTGCAGAAGAGAAAGGCGCAGCACTTACAAGAAAAGAAACCAGAGTTACTGGAAAATACTTTGAATGCTGCTGCTTAGACGGAAGTATTATAGCATTATTATGTTATTGTATTTGCATTATGATGAACTGTGCTAATGCAGAAGATTTTGTATGCATAGGGGGCAGTAAGCTTAAAATAGCGGTAGTAGCAGCTTTTGATAGGTGAATTACTTTTCCGAGAAGGAGCCAATTATTATTGAAATGTTTTTTGATGAAGTTAGGAAAAACTATATAAACTGTATTTCTTTTGTTGGGTGCGTTACTCCTTGGGACAGGGATACCCTGCATCTGTGCTTCTCCTGCTGATTAAAAGATACTTTTCCTTACTTTACCTTAAGTCTCACTCTGAATTATTGTCAAGAAGTTCAGCAAGTGATTTAATTAAGGAAGGAGGGTCGTTTTAGTAGTATTAATTATTTATCTTCCACATTAGTAAGCTGAGACAACTGTGTTGTGGTCCTCTGGTTTAAACCTCCAAAACCAAAACCAGCCCCACCCTGCCCCCGCATGCACCAAACCTGTCCCAGCTCCATCCCTGCAGTCACCAACACATCTAAAGTACAATGTAAGATTAATGTTCTCATTTGCCTTTCAATATCTTTATTATTAAATTACTCACTTGACACCACCCATAGAAATGAATGATGAGTTCCCATAAAGATATGAATATATATGTTTGTGTGTGTGTGTGTGTGTGTGTGTGTGTGTGTCTGTGTCTGTGTGTATGTGTGTGGATTAACTTTATATTGAACTCCACAATGTATTAATAACCTGATTTTTGTGGGAACCATTTTTCAGGTCCACACCAAGATCTGTGATTGAAATAAAAAAAAGTAAAAATGCCAAAAGTCTTGTATTTCATTTGGTTACTTATGTTTAAGGTTAGGGCTGGGTAGGGGTTAAGGTCGTCATGTTGGGCTTAGGGTTTCCCCCCTAGAAATGAATAGAGAGTCCCCACAAAGATAAAATTACACAACTGTGTGTGTGTTAGTGTGGTGTTTGCATGTTTTCCCCATGTTGGATATGTGTGGATTTCATTTTCACTTTTCTCTTGTAATAAAGTGATCCATGTGTGGTTGTATGTATGAGTGAATGTCAGTGAGCCCTGTGATGGACTGGTATCACACTCAGGGTGTCTCACCACTCCACTGTACTGGACAAGTGATTATGGATTAAAAAATGACATTAGACGAGCTAAAAGGAATGTCGAAAGGAAGATTGCATTGGACGCTAAGGGTGACGTTAAAAGTTTCTTCCAGTATTTTGTAATGTAATGTAAGGTACTCCATGTAGGGAGCAGAAATATAAAGTACAGGTATTTTATGGGACCTACTGAAATAAAGGTAGCTGATTATGAGAAAGACCTTGGTGTGTATGTTGATGCTTCCATGTCTCATTCTCGGCAGTGCGGGGAAGCAATAAAA